ACACGCCTGCCTATGTGCAAAAAGTAATCCCGTTCCAAATCCATGCACCATCCTGAAGCCATAATCACATCTTTGTCTTGCCAGGAGCTTGGCGTTTTGAAAGGAATGGATGCTACAGTCATTCATATTCCTAGAGGCCAGTAGCTGGCAGTTCATGGAGCTGAAGAGCATTGAGCTCCCTACATATATTTGGTCTTAGCTCTCCTTATAAGATAGGCCACTGACAAATGCCAGATTATACCTGAAGAGTAATCGAAATAACTACATTCATCAAATAAATCACAAAAACAAGATCAGACATGGCCAGCAGAATTCAGCAGAATTATCTCCTCTCAGGAAAATCAAACAAACCCCTTATTTTTTTTATAATAAATTGAGCTTCACAACCAAAGCAACAAATCATTCATATGCAAATATCTACTGTTTCAATCTGCTGAACTCCTCATTTGCTATGCGCTGTCACTGGGACATAAAACAGTATCATGCAAATCATGTCTTATGGGAAGAGTTACTAGGTACCAGCAAGTAGGATGCTGGAGAGTTACTAGGTACCTACTGAGTAGGATGCAACAAATGTTAGGAACTTCTAATTCCAGTGTTGTGAGTTATGATGGTTGACAAACAGGCAATGAGTTACAAAAGGCATATTCAACCCATAGCCTGGCACAGCTTGCAATGTAGCCCAGCCCCTGTTGCTAGGCCATCGTGGCATCGGCTAGGTACCAATCAGCCTGGCCTACCCTCTAGACATTGGGAGGGTGCAGCAGTAGTAGTGTGCTTAGTCTTCCTCTCGCATCCATAGCAACTCAGTTGAATCAAACCTCATGTGTATTACGTATAGATGTGCTTATTGAGTAAAATGATTGCTAATAATATTTAAACCTGTCTCATGCTACCTCAAAGGATAGCAGAGCCAAAAAAAAAAAAGAAAAGTTGTGAAGGAAGGAAGAGTGTTCAAGGAAAAACAGATAGACAAGTAGATTTTAGTCAAGATAAATAATATGGCACTACGATTATTTTGCAAGGAAATTATGTCAGTTTTCAAAGATCGCTATTTGAAAAGACATTACATGCAGAAACATGCTGCCAAATTTAATGAATATTAAGGACTGCTTCATAAAGACAAAATAGTGAAATTGAAAAAAAAAAAACTGTCATCCCACCAGAATCTTTTTTTAAAAAAATTATAACTCAAATGGACTCTATTATAAAAGCTAGTTACATGATAGCAAATCTAACTGCAAAAAAATCAAAACCATTTACCGAAGATGAGTTTATTAAGCAATGTACAGAAAGCATGGCACACATGATATGTCCAAAGCAGGTTTTTCTAAAATCAGTTTGTCTTGCAGGACTACAGCCAAGTGAATAGAAGAAAAAGGAAAATCTATCAAAAGAAATATGGAGAGTACAATACTAATTTCATATTTTTTTGCTTTAGTGATAAAAGTATTGATGCTACAGATACAGATCTACCTGCCATTTTTGTAATACATACTGATAATGAATATAATGTCACTGAAAAAATGGCTTCTTTGGTGTCTATAAAAGACACAACTACATCTCCCCACTTGTATGAAACAGTAAAAAATACATTCAAGCAATTTTCTTTAACATTTGTTAACATATTTGTTAAAGCTACTAATAGCACCCTAATGGCTGGTAAAAAAAGGGACTTGGAAAATAAAGAGAAAATAATGCAGTTGCCACAAGAAAAATCACACTTGGTGAAATACTGTTGCATCAAACATCAAGAAAATTTAAATTTTAAATTTAAATTTAAAAATTGATGATGTAATTCAAAAACATCATCAAAGCTCTGTATTTCATAACAAGGGATTGAATCATCGTCAATTCCAGGAGTTCCTTAAAAGTGAGGATGCTGATTATGGGAACATCATTTACTTTTCTGAAGCCAGGTGGCTATGTAAAGGTAGAACACTAAAAATATTGTATGATTTGAGAAATGAAATTAAGTCCTTCGTGGAGTCAAAAGCAAAATTTGTGTCAGAATGTGAAGATTAAAAATGGCTCGCAGATTTAGCATTTTTGACAGATTTGTCCACTCATTTAAATGAGTTAAACATGCAGCTGCAAGATGAAAATGATCTCATCTGCTGTGTCTCCAACTGTGTTTGATATAAAACTTAAATTATGGCAAGCTCAAGCTATGTCAAATAATTTCATGCATTTTGATATGCTGGCTTAAACACGGTCCTGTGAGCAGTGAAAAATATGCAGCCTTGCTTTCAGTTTTGAAAAAAGAATTTGAGAATAGGCTTTGAGATTAGATTAAAGAAAAACAAACTTTTTTTTTTTGTATTTGGGACTCCATTTCAGTCAATCTAAATACACTACCTGTGAATTTTGTACACAGCTGTAATCTAATATTCAACTCAAAAATTTTATCATGTCTGATTATGAGACTTTATACATTATTACGTATTTTAGATGTGGTACAAGATGATTCCCATTCACTCAGTATGGCCCAGGCAAGCAAAAAAGTTGGACACCCATGATATGCAGTGTTCATACCTTCTAACCTGTTTTCCACAAAGAAGCATTCTTGAGCTTGCACTGCACAAAGCAACGATATCCAACAGGAGAAAAGGCCTAAGCTGCACAAGTTGCAACATTTACATGTTCTGTCATATTTTCTTCTTAAGATGGTTCCTAGAAAAATGTCATTCATCTACAGTAACGCTTTCCTGTTCTGACTAAAATAAATCAACATTTCAACAGTAGATCATTTTGAACTATCTGTTCATTTGACCTGTATAGCAAAATTTGTTTTGCATAAATCAGTTTCAGTCATACAACCATTTGTATCCCCCTTGTGCTTGTGTTGCTAAGAAAGATACCTATTTTACATAAACTGCCAGCACTGAGTTGTTCTCTGTTAATGAGCGTAGACAATCTTCTTTTGCTGTTATGGGTTGGGAAGTTTTAATGTAGTAGCGCTGCAATAGCCTGTAGGACCCAGCTAACATATTAGCTCAACTAGTGACAAATGAAATGTTCCAGGCAATTGTTGCAGGAACCTCTGAGATCCCAATATGGGATCAAGAAGAGTACTTCTGCGGAAACTGCTTGCCTTACTAAAGCCAAAAAAGATGTTAAGTGGGGCCATGGCAAGCACAAGACTCTTGCACATACAGCAAGAGTCCATCACCTATGCAGCTGTACACATGCTAGGTTGTGCAAATCATGAGTGAGAACTCAGACATTGGTGTTATTTGTAATTATATATAGAGATATATATAAAGATATATATATCTTTTCCAGTGTAGGAGGCAGATGCCACAGAATTAAGGATGTATGAGGAGGAAATACACAACCCAACACAGATGAAGAGCAGCAGTTTGTTTTAGGGATAGAACAGCACATGTTCTATCATATGTTTTCAGCAACCTGCGTTGCAGAACTCTGCTCCACTGTGGTCCCTCAGTGTCAGGTCCACTAATTCTGAAGATTAAAATCAAGTAGCAATAGGGTTAGGAACGTATCTCAGAATACAAAGAAACCAGCCTGTTCATCCCACCTCTACAACTGGGCCACAGGAGAAGAGAGAAGGGTAGTTGCTACTTCACCTGAAATTCTGAGAAAAGTGAGAATTCTCACTTGTTCTGGCAGTCAGAACAGCAGCTCTAGGTTGTCGGAAACAGAAACCTGAAATTAGACGGAAGCCAATTTATTGTGACCTAATTAATAGCCAGTACAGGACTCGTCATGATTAGGAAAGCACAATAAAAATGATGAGAGCCCAAGTCACACTATCTGCCAGCAGCTAAGGATATGCTCTGTATTGTGACTGCCCAGTGGGACAGGTGGCTGTATATCTCAGCATCACGAAAGGTGATGGAACTCCCTGAAATTACAGTCCAGAGCTAAGCAGCCCCCAAAACAACTCTTTATTTAACCCATTAGTATGTGGTTCCTACACTGTCAACTCTCCATAGATAACAAATTCATGCCCTGCTGCTCAAAACTTCCACTAGTTTGATCAACACTGGTACCAAAGCTCTACTGCAACTTCAGAGCTCCTGCCTCATTAGTCCAGTTATATACAAGCACTTAGTATTATATGGGAGCATGCAAAAATGCTTCTGAGAGGTCATTAAAATGGAGAAAAACTTCCACTGTAGATACAGAGTAGTCAGAGATGCAAAAATGCTGCTCTGAGAAGTAATAGGAGTGCTCACTGTTACAAAGCAAGTTGTATCAGTTTATTGCTTTGTGCTTCAATTTTCACAGCCATAAGATACAGAAGACTGATGCTGTTCTCTATAAATATTTCATAAACTTATAAATGGAAATTGCAAAACAAAAAACAAACAAAAAAAGCTGCAGTATTATGTAAAAAGTCAGGTTCTCCCACACAAGAGCAACAGATTTTTTGACCCAATGGCAAGACATCCTTTTCCTCCACACAAAATTAATTCTCGCTGTTAGGACAGCTTTTGGATATTTTGCAGAGCATAGCACAGCAAGCCTTCAAAAAGCAGCTTTCAAGATCTTTAAATGTTATCGTTTGCTAACACAAAACCACCAAATTAATAATATCTGCTCGCATACACAATCCCCTCAGGCTGCCATAATGGTGAAGGGACTGCTCCACGCATGTCCAATAAAACATTACACAAATGGGAGAAGATACAGATGTAATACAGCAGGTGAGCCTATTATTCCCATCCAAATTCAACTGAGATAGAAGAGACAAGCTGAGAATACTATCATTCAGGGTGAATGCTTAGTTCCAGTCAGAAGAGAGTTTCCAATGGGATGAAAGATGTTCACCTTGAGTCTTGTAAGGGATTCTGGATGACAGTGTAGTGGGCAGAGGAGTCTTTTCCAGGATTCTGACACTGCAAAGAGCTGTTAGGCTGCAGTTTCTCGGGAAAATACAGTGTTTTGTAAATCAGATCTTGGATTGCAGAAACATCACTTTTTTCTACAGGAAAAGAAAGACAATTGGCAGGGATTCTCAACAGGTTAAGTAGCCCTTCTCAAGAAGTACCTGGAACTCCAGTTCTCTAGCACCAGCAGCTTTTCCTCTCTTTTTTCTTGTATATCCCTCATTCTGTGCACTCACCTACACCCAGCTCCTGCAGTAGACTGCCAAACTCTGGGTCACTCTCCAGGATTTTTAACAGGTTGGTGGACTCCATTCTCTCCAGCTGCACATCCCAGTAGATGTAGATCTTCTGACTGAAACTGACATAAACCAGGCAGGGACTGTTGCTTCCTCGTTTGCATGCATATAGGCCTACAAAGAACAGAAGTATGGAAAATCTGGCTACTTTTCAAAATACAGAGAAGGCAAATAGGTAACTTCTCAGGATGAGATAACAAAGACGTTATCAGAGAGCAGTAAGCACCTTCAAGGGAAGAACAGAGATGGACTTGGCTGTTAAGCCCCTCTGAGACATTTCAGTTATCTCTAAACTGTCATTATGCAGCTTGTGGGTTTGCAAGCCGCTTTTTACAAGTCTGAAAGAGACTTGTAAAAGAGAATTAGCAAAGTCAAGGCTCAGGCTTAGAAGACTGCAAATTAAAAAGCAATGGAGAAGAAAATGCTGTAGCACTCTCAGATTGGACAGAAAAGAAAAAACAAAACCCAAAAAACTAAATTAAACCAACCACAGCCATACCCCAGCATCACCCCCACTCATTCTGCTTTTCCCAGATTCCACCAGTGGGAAGACCAGCTGTGCCTCTTCCTGCAGAATATACACCCCAGGAAAATTATTCCCCACTGCAGACAGACAAAAGATCACAGGTTCCCCAGAGGAGAGTAGTAGCTTTTATGGAGTTGTGAGGACTGGCTTTGCAGTCAAAATCCTCACCTGCACAGAATGCACTGACATTCTCATCTGCTTGAAATCTGGCAACTGTGCGATTGTGGTCAACGATATATGTCTGGCCATCCCATGCACAGGCAATTACCTCCTCATGCCCATTGCCCTGCAGGAACCATAGGATTAGCACAGACATCAACTACTCCCAGAGGCAGTCAATAATCTTTCTGCTTATTCAGAGGTAGAGCACTACTTAATGAACAAGATAACACTCTTCATTAACTTGGAAATCAACTCTTCCTTCTCTATTACAATCCTTATGTATCCTATGAGCCTGTAGACAATTGGAGTATTGACAATTTGCAAAACTTTTCAATTTTGCAATGAGATAAAAGAGCAGTTAGGGGATGGAAAAATTCACAGCAAGGCGCTGCGCTCACTAGGTCAAATAGGCAGACACAACTCAACCTCTTAGAGAAAGGCAGACTGACACGAGTGCAGAATGTGCTGGCAGTCAGAGCTTTCAGTGTATCATCCTTCAATAATCCCAGCATTTTTTCAGCTGAGTCATACTCTGTGGGAATACAAGAAAGACTATTCAGAGCAGCAGCTGTGGAGCAAAATAGCAAGAAAAAGCAACACTGAGAACCAAGGACATCTCCAGAAGAAGAGAAAAGCAAAGTCAACTAAGCTGTGTGATGCTCTCATGATGATGGTCCTGATTGGAGGAAGAGCGTGTTACTAGAGACAACTCATGGCTCTGATTGTATAAGTGCCTGTGTGCAGTTAAGGAGTGTGTGGAATGTTTTGTTGACATGTAAAGGTGGTGGAAAAGTTAAAAAGAAAACTTGTGAATGTATACAAGGGATGTTAGAACCTGCAGTAAACAATCTGCATCATTCACATCTGAGTTCGTGCCTCAGATGCTGCAATACTGTCTCTGCCCTTCCTAAATTTAAACATAGAAAAGCTATGTTGAACTTTTGTCTTCATTCGTTCACTCTCAGACCTATTCACATAGTACTCACAGTAACATCCAGCTTTTCCAGTGCAAATAGCTGGTGATCAACCTGCACAGACCAGAGCAGCTTGTCTGCCCCTTCCATGAGTTTCAATGTCCCTGAAGAGGAAAAAAAAAAGATTGTCCTGAAAATATTAAAAGGGAACACAATGTCTGCTAACATTGGGCCCTGTGTACTCCTTCAGCACTCATGGTCTGCACTTGGAGGGGAGAGCATAGTACAGACTGTAGCTGACAGCAGTCTCATTTCTGGGAGGGATAGTAGTTGATTATATTTTCAGCAGTAACAGGAAACAGGAAGGAATGGGCAGCAGCTCTGCTAATTGGCTTGCACCCTAAGAAGAAAATGTTCAAAACATGATCCCTGGGTGTAGTACATCAACAGGTTTCACACTGATATACGTATGAGACCATGTAAACTAGAATCCTCTCACCATGTCCCACTGAGACAGTAAAGTGGGAAAGATGAAAGGGGGGTCTGTAACATCGCTTGGCTTTACTAACTCAAAGAAATTAGCATCACGTAATTTAACCCTTCTTGCTAACTCAGGAGGAATTTATTGCTCAGCTTAGGGAATTCGTTTCTTAGTTTAACCTCTTGTTATCTCAAGGGGAACTTATCGCTTAACCTTTGCTAGCCCAAAATACGCTCCCAACAAACAGCCGTCTCTAGTCAGCAGAAAGGGCCCCTGAGAACGTGAGGGGGAGGCAAGGATAGGCAGAATTAGAGATTGCTGAGGTATGCAGGACGGGAGAAGAGCCCAAAACTGGGACAAAGGTCGGAAGGACATGGCGAGGAAGACGTCTGACTTCATCCCGGAATGACCACCAGAGGGGGAGGAAGACGTCGGGCCTTCATCCAATGGATGCTGCTGCACATGCACTGGGGAGGGGGACAGTATGTAAATGAACTCCCAGAAAGGTGATGAATATGTTAGTGAGTCTTAGGTAACACTCCTGAATATGTATGGATTGACTTATAAATGTAATGGGATCTCACTTTCCGGTGTGCAAGTTAGGAGGAGCGATCCCCCTTGCACCCGGCGTGTGGTGCAGCGCTGAAATAAAGACATACCTGCTCTTATAACCTTACGTGGGTTAGAGAGTTTGATTCCGCAAATCACCACAGATCACACAATCTCAAGAGAACAGGTATCAGCTGAAAAGTTACTGGCTAGTAGCATAGAAGTGGCTTCCTGGATGCTAAAATCATTCTAAACACTGACCTCATACCATTTTCCTACTATCCAGAGGTACTGTGAAAGTACCATGGAGGCTAGTGGGAGATGCAGACCTGAGACAGAAGGTCATATAACGTAAACATGAACCTATCCTCACTAACCCTCCAATCTCAGTACGGCTCATGAAGGAATGATGGCATGACTGGAAGCCTTGCCCATTGAGGCAGCTTCACAGTTAAGGCCCAAACAAGAATCAGAAACTCCCTAGCAGAAGATCATAGGGCAGATGGACATCTAGCCCATACAGGCCAGGTTGCCTATCTGGGAACAGAGATACACAGCACCTTGTCTCCACACAGCTGCTTTTTGAACAGAATCCCTCCATTCAGTTGATTAGATTTAGTCTGTCCTATCACTTCTCAGTCTGCAATGGAGCAGAAAAACATGGATCCAGGCCAGTGTGAGGCAAGCTCTTCACTAACAATACTTGAGTTTCAGCATCCATTTCCTTTATTGCTTTTGGAAACAACACAAATCCCTTCAAGTACAAAGGCATATCTCTGCTACGGTTTACAAGCTCTTGTTTAATTGAATTGCACTGCCAAATTGGCATCTCAAACAGTTGTTTAAGTATTGGGTAAGCATGCAGCTTAGGAGTAAACAGATGCTAATTCTGGTTTCAAGCTTTCAGTTTCGGGCCAAGCTTTAACAGTTCTATCCCCATACACCATGATGCCATATGAGTAATAAATGTTTGTAAAATGCTTTGAAATCTACAGATGAAGGGATTGTAATAGCAAAAAAGGGAACTACTAAGACACCAAAAAAAAAAAAAAACCATATCAGAAGAAGGAGCTAGAGTCAAGTTCTTTTGTGTGCATCAGGAAACATTTCTGAAGCCCAGTTCCCTCTTCTTTCAAAAGCAAAAGCACTGCACACTTGTTCCCTACTTTTAATTAAGGACAGGTCTTGGGCTTTCTCACAGGCCCTTCTTTCAGGATAGTAGTAGGACTTACCATCAAGCGTACATAGGGCAAAGAGACCGGAGCCATTACCCACACTGGAACAGCCTGTAAATGCAGAAGAGAATTAGAGTTGAAACATATTTATGAGCATTGTTCCTTCCCTCTCCTGAAAAAAAAAATTCAAAACAACAAGCTGACTCGTATTGCCTTCTTTTTTGCCCAGTCCTGCAACTTTGCATAACAGGTATCTGCAGTCTTGCAACCAATCCTACCTCATGCCAGCTTTTATTTGTAGAGCACTACTGTCAGTGTAAACCCAAGAATCCAGCATCTTTAGTTTGCATTGATACAGGCATGTCTGGCTCTGCTGACTGCTTCTAGGAATTTGTTTATGCCAAATGTATGCAGGCCTTCAGCAGTTCTGGTTGCAGTCAACATTATCATACCCTCTCTAGGCTCCAAAAATGCACAAACACAGGCACAATAATCACAGAGGGACAATGTGGATAATAGCCTAAACTAAATATTACAACTGTATCCTCACTGCTTCCCTCAGGGATAGGAATGTTGCCTTCAGTTGTTCCAGAAACAAGAAGAAAAAACAGATCCCACTAGGACTACATTTCAGTCAAAGTGGCACAAAAGCACCTTCATGTCAGCTCCTGAATGAGTCTGCTGAGATCATGCTTTCCACTAGATGAAAACTGGACAGAAGCTGTGGTTTCCACTCAGCAAACGCTGCTCAGATGCTACAGAGCTCTTGCTTTGAGAGTAGGTTAGACATCTGTCTCAATGTTCATGCACCCAGCCCTGGCTTTATTAGTCCCCACAGCTGTGAACTGCCTGCAAACAGTTCCTCTCCAAAGCCTGTGTATCACACAATTGTGCACAGGACTAACTAAATCCAAAGACAAGACTTTCCTGACCACCACTTCAGTAAACTCTCTACCTGTCCACTAATCAGAAGAGACATGCAAGATAAAAGTTTTGGAAGTGATATCACACTGGGAGGCAGAAGGCTGGAGCTGTTTTCAACTACAGCTGCATTTTATGTTTGCACTGACCATGTCGAAGGAGGCACGGTCTCCTGGAGGTCTGCAGCAACCCAGGAAATGTGGCAGTCAGTGGCAAGTCAGCAGAGCTGAAAGGGGTTTCATGCTTTTCCCAGATAGCTTCCCCAAAATGACACTGTACCACAAGCCTACCTTTGCCATCCATGCACAGCTCCAGGCTACAACACCCCAGAACATACAGTGCCCTTTTTCTACAGGATCATTTATAGCAAGCAGTTAGCCAATTGGGTGTTATACTGCCTGTAGCTGACATTTATCTAGACTCACTCTGTTCTAAATCATTTACTGTGTCCTCTACAAACTGGTCAGCACGACACACTTCAACTGTCTCGCTACTGCTGTTCCAGCACCAAAGGGCTTTTTACAAACTTCTCTTCCCTTATTCTGCAGGTTTTGTATGCAGTGAAATAACTGATTTCATGCTCCAGTGATCACGGTACTTGCAGCAGCTGAAATGCTGAAAATATGACAAGTTTTGCAACTGGGTAGGAACTGTACTCTGCAGAGCAGGGAAAGGAATGGGGGGAGGGTTTGGTCAGTTGTCCTTCTCCTTCAATTCTAATCACACTGTACAGCCTAATTCCTCCACAGACAGCACTGCAGATGATAATTCAAATGCACATCAATTCCAGCCAGTTGCAGACAAGGAGGGAAAATGACCCATACCAATCTTCTTCTTCCTTGCATTATGAGCGTATTGACAAGGGAGTGTGAAATTTGTACTCTCTGTATGTACCAAAACAGTGTTCAGTATATTCAGCCAGTTTCATGCAGGAAGCACTGGCAGCATGTAAGAAATGCCTGGATACAAAAGCAGTTGGTTAGGGCTGAGAGAAGCCAGCAGCTATAGATAACAGTTAAACAGTATAAACTGAAAGGAGACAAAGGACAGCAATAAAAATGAAATATGGAAGCAGCTCTGGAAGGGTTGGGATCCACAGGTAAAACAAGGCAGGATACAGCTGTTAGAGGAATCAAGTGCTCAAATGCAAGAAATTAAAAATGATGCTGTGGAAAGGAAGAGATGTATCTAGGCAATTAAGAAGAGGGCAGAAGCTGCAGTCATGCAAAAGTAAGGAACTAGTATATCTGCAGGAGCAGGGCTTCATAGACATTCAAGATGAGTAAATGCAAGCAAGTGGAGGATGCAGGGAAACTTGTGCTGAGTGAAGAATAACCAAGGGAAGGTCCAAAGTCTGTAAAAAGTTCAAAAGCAAATGTTTAGCTGTTTTTTGGAGGCAAACCAACAGGAGATGAAATCCTTCTGTTCTAGCATCTAACTCCTGAAGTTTTTAGTTTTCAGCCTCTGGAAATCTAATTTCACACTGGACTGACATATTGAAAAAATATCACAGGCAACTGTTGAGGCAGAGACCCCAAGCTCTTAATCTCTCACCTTGGCCAATGCTACCAATCAAATGAGTGGAAACATTCTTGTTATGAATCCGGCCAGATGTTTGGTGAAGAATAACATCTCGAACAGGGGCCTCTCTAGGGAGAAAAGAGGCAGGCATCAGGAAACGGTCCATGCCTGGTCCTGTGTCAAGACAATCTGAAGAGCAGAGTACTCCAGAACTCTCCAAGTCTAGAGATGGATAGAGTCTGTGCACAGACTAACCCTTTAGTGAAATACTCAGGAACAGTATGCTACCCCAAAGCAAAAAATGAGATTGCTTTAAGCAGGGGACATTTCAATCATCAGTAAGATTATTTGCTGACAAAAAGCAATGAAAAGAAAGCACACCACCTCAGGAATGACAGAAATTTGCTAATGATTAAAAAACAAGACCTAGTGATTTGTAGCATCAAAAAACTGGAAAGAACTCAACTAGGTCAATAAAACATCTATTCTAAACAAGGAGATTGGCGTTTTTTTGTTTGCTTTTTTTTTTTTTAACTTATTTTCTGTCACACATGCCTGACTGCTATACATTCAGGAAAACTGTCTGTTGTTATACAAGTAAGTCAGAGATCATGTCTGGGCCTGAGTTCTGGCTAGGCAGATACTTATATTTCATTAAGGTCTCTAAGACATCAAGACTTGCCTAGCTTCCATCCTGTACGTTTTCTAGGTCTGCCTTAGTGTCCCACAGAACAGCACAGGAGTGCCTGATTTTCTCACAGTGGTGCCTCTAGGGACAGGGAAAATAACCTCACTGCTCATCTTGATTTCTCTGCTTGTAATTTACAGCACTGGCTGCTAGATTCTTATTAGGAAATCCTGCCCTACATGGAAGAAACCAGTAGTGTCTTTCCAGGGCTTCAGATTAATTGGCCTTGGCTCAGCTTTACAGATGCCACCCTTCCCACCATTAGACAGCTCCCCTGACTACTCCTCTTTATTGAGATCTAGGTCACTCACTCCCTGGCCAACTCGAGAAGAAGAGCAGGACACAACAAAAACAGTATTCGTCTTTAGGATAGAGACCTGAATTCATGGGCACTTGGGTGCCAACAAGCTTAAGTCATGAACTCCCAGCAGATAGTTCATCGCAGATACTGGCTTCACTAGGATGACAGCATTATCCCTCAGACAGGCAGTGGTGGTGGTGCCCTTTCGTGACAGGCATCTACAATTGAATCTCCACATCTACTCCACACAATCACTGTTTACCTGCTTGGGGAAGAGCTCTCTCTCCCCTCTATCATGGGTTGCTGCTCAGAGTCCCAGGTGCACAGCAGAATGGCATAACCGCAGCCTGGCTGGGACACCATCATCTCTGGTAAGCCATCAGGGCCTGGGTTCACAGAAAGGCTATCCACCTGTACTGACACAAGATAAACAAAGACAGAGTTGAACTGAGAACCTTACATAACCTAGAAGTTTCCACTGTGCAACTTGTACCTAAATCTGACTACAGCAGATTTACTCATAGAAGCTGAGTATAAGCTGAACAAAGCCAGGTACAGGCAAAATATCCAAGTAAAAGGGATCTTCACCTAGCAAAAGCCACTTAAGAACACCCCTAGTGGAAAACATTCTCTAGTCAAGTGAGAGAAGCTAATGAACATCACATCAGCTTCTTTGCATGCACAGGGCAACTGCTGGACAAGTCTCCTTTCAAGTCATCAAGATGACAATTACTTTGTTAATAGGAATCAGATCTTGTGCCTCTTCCCATATCCTTACCTGACCTTCCAGCAACCATTTCTTCAGCAGGATCAGCTGCCCACAGACATGGTCTGAATTCTCTGACAAGTCCTCCCAGCGGAAGGCACGCACTACTCTGTCAGTGTAACCTACCACCAGCTCACATTTCCCATCTCCATCTGCAGGGAAACCAGGAGACAGAAGGGCACTCTTAGGCCTTCATAACTGCAAAAACCCCGACATCCATTAAGCACCATCCTTGAGGATCCCAACCCCATTACAAGAACTCACACTTCGGAATTTTTTTGTAAATTCTTGCTCCTCTCCTCAAGGACTGGACAGTCTTTGTTAAAGTAACTGTTTCAGCTAGGTAGTCATTTTCTTCTATGTGCTCGTACACTTTCTCTCTCCCCATCACCACTTCATGCCCCCAAATCCCCTCACCCTGAACTCCCATCCTTGTTATCCCACTCACCTATGTCACTAATTAGCATGACTTTGGTGTTGGCAGGAATATGTTGCTTGAACACTGGCTTCTGCTCTTCCGCTAACTCATGGTGGCCTAAAGCATCTGGGTGCTTTGAAGGGGAAGTCAGATCAAAAAGATGAAACCAACCTTCTGCACTCACTGCCACTACAAGATTCTAAGAGAGAAAGAGAACTTTATATTATTTTTTTCTTTTAGAAATTGTAGCAGGGCAAAGGAAGATCAATGACTGCTACAAGGGAACAAGAGACTATTTCTGGCCAGTTGTCACAGAGATCTCTAGATCTGTGTCTGTGACAGGGGTCTCAAAAACAAAAAACAAAACAAAACAAACAAAACAAAAATAAAAGAGAGGAAGGAAAAAAAGGTGTTAACTGCTTAAAGCTGGTCTGGCCCAGCCCTGCGACTAATGAGACAGGGCACACATGCGTATGCCTCAGGAGAGAGAGAAAAACTGCGGGGGGTGGGGGGGTGGGGGGCAAAACAGTAGATGGGTCTTAAAAAAAACCCAAAAACAGAGCAACAGCAACGATCTGAGGAGGAAAATTAATTTACTACATCCAACAAAATCAAACAAAATGAGAGAAAATGAGAGAAACAGTGTCCAAAACTAGAGACTGGTAATGAGTGGTGTCCCTCAGGAGTCCGTCTTGGGACCAGTGCTCTTTAACATCATTATCAATGACATCGATGGTGGAATTGAGTTTTCTGAAGACACCAAGCTGAGTTGCACAATTGACGTGGTGGAAGGAAGGGATGCCATTCAGACGGACCTCAACAGACTCAAAAGGTGGGCCTGGGAGAATCTAATGAGGTTCAGCACAACAAAGTGCAAGCTTTTCACTTGCGCCAGAGGAATCCCAGGCATTTATATAGACTGGAAGGAGCAGTCCTTGAGAGCAGCCCTGTAGAGAAGGACCTGCGGGATCTTGGTGGATAAAAAATTGAACATGAGCCAGCAGTGTGCTCTTGCAGCTCATAAAGCAAATGGTTATCGTGGGCTCCATCAGAAGAGGGGTGGCCAGCAGGGACAGGGAGGTGATTGTCCCTCTCTACTCTGCCCTTGTGAGGCCCCATCTGGAGTACTGTCCAGGTCTGGAGCCCCCAGTACAAGAAAGACAGAACTGTTGGAGAGGGTCCAGAGGAGGGCCACGAAGATGATCAGGGGACTGGAGCACCTCCCCTATGAGGACAGGCTGAGGGAGCTGGGCTTGTTCACCCTGGAGAAAAGAAGGCTGCGGGGTGACCTCATTGTAGCATTTCAATACCTAAAGGGAGCCTACACAAAGAGGAGGGGAATCAACTCTTTGAAAGGGTAGTTAACAGCAAGACAAGGGGAAATGGTTTTAAGTTGAGGGAGGGAAGATTTAGGTTGGATGTCAGGGGAAAGTTCTTTATTCTGAGAGTGGTAAGGTGCTGGAACAGGCTGCCCAGAGAGGTTGTGGATGCCCCGTCCCTGGAGGTGTTCAAGGCCAGACTGGATGGGGCCCTGGGCAGCCTGGCCTAGTGTTAAATGGGGAGGTTGGTGGCCCTACCTGTGGCAGGGGGGTTGGAGATTTCGTGACCCTTGAAGTCCTTTCCAACCCAGGCCATTCTGTGATTCTGTGATACCACGGCAGACAAAAGCAGCCGGGGACCACATGCTTCTCAGCCACCTGGACCAGGAGAGCGAGCCACAAGCTCCTCCTTTCTTCCTCTGGGCCTGAAGTCCTCTGGGGAATGCTGCTCCTCTCCAAGAACCAAAATGCCCACAAAAGGCAGTCCCCAGAACCAGGACATTAGTTCTTTAACTCCCACTGCCTTACATGACATAGTGGTGTGGAATACTGACAACAAAAATCACAAAATCACAACACCAGTATACAAACCACTCAGGTCCTGAAGGGTCCAAACAGTCTAAAAAGTTCATCATTTTCAGAATAGGATATCAAGCTGATGTGTGCATGCAATTTCCAATAAATGGCTTACTCTAACCTCAATTCAGCTCTGCTCTCCTCTGGAGCACAATATTTTAGGCAGGGTGCCTAAAGTGGAATTTTTGACCTCTTAGTCATTTGTTTAATTCTCAAAAATAGCAAGCCCCCTGAAGAAGTTATATTAGACCCACTAGAATTTGCTTGGAAGTTGAGACTATTCTATGGCTGTCTTGTTTAGGTGACCTTAAACACATACAGACAAGCAGCAGAAGAGCCACAATCTGCAGTAGGGCTCAGTACAGCTGGATAAAAGCCACCAAGGAAAGGGAGTAATCCTTAAATCCCTGAAGCCTCACGGCATTCACACAGAAGGATGTGCTTATCAGTAGTGCTTCCTAAAGATAAGATCTCTTTGCTTACTAAGACTTGTATGGTGTTCACAGACAGATAAGATGCAGGTTACATGACACAAAAACAATTTTAAAATAGAAGCATTAAAATTCTGTGCAATGAGGTCAGATCCTGGAGAGAAAACACCTATCATCTGTTCTTGTCCACGCTCTTGACGGACCATGAGCTAAATCTCCTAAGCAGTTCCCATTTGCCCTACTGACAAAGATGGGGAGAGTTTGATTGCTCTCACCTTTCCTTTATTGCATACATCTCCCACACCAACGCATGTAAGCTGCAAGAGAAAAGAAGATCTTAAGAGTCCATCTATGAGATAAGGCAACCCAAAGAAGTACTTTTAGATAAACCCCTGCCGTACCCTCTCCTCTTTGTCAAGAGACAAACAGTCTCTTGAACTTGAACAGCCTTTTTAATGACAAAAAGAACAGCCCAGGACAGAAACACATAAGCCACACAACTGTCCAGAGCTCTTGAGCAAAATTCACAGTGACAGGAATAGGTTCAAGGTGGGAGAAGCCCCAACAGAATTACTGTGTTTGTTCAGTACTCTGCTCATAATTTCTAGTCCAGAGGGCTTGCTGTAAGCAAGAGGCTCATACATCACTAGATGAAAGGCATCAGAAGCAGTTCTGGCTGCCACTCCTCTCTGGCTTTCATATTCCAAAGCAGTGATAAAGGACAGTAATATGTACATAAACTAAAAGGCCCAACCAGTTAAAGCTTTGAAAAGAACTGACCATTCCTTGGCAGGATCGTACAGTCCAGGGTTTGCTGTCATCATTTTTGTACACGTAGAGTTTCCCATTGGTGTCTCCTACCACTAGCTCATTCAGCTGTACAAGAGAATTGCGTTAGTAAGAAGTTCACAATTGCAGTAACATAGTACTCCCAGCACAGTGAGAATTACAGATTTCATACCCGAAATGGGTAACAATCAGCAAAACAAGAGTTAAAAGCCTGAAACAGTAGAAAAAGTCTAGGAAAAAAAATTAAGAGCCCTCATTTTACACAAGCAGACTAAACAGCTGACTTGGGCTTTCTTCATTCATCCGAGAAAGATGTGGAGAAAGTAATCCTCCAGAAAAAATCTGCAAGAGCACAATACATTTACGCTGGATCTTCAGCCTCATTAACAAACTGGCTAAACAGCAATTACTTCCTGAAAGATGACTGCTGAACAGTCACCACCTCCTCCTGCTAATTAGCCCACATATGCAGAAAATTGAAGTAGAGTCATAATGCAGAGGATATCATAAGTCCCCTAGCATATTACCCTGTGTAACATTAGCTCACATGGCTAGCTATGACACTTTCCAGGACAGCAGGGTATAGCATAAGATTTGTCTGTTGAGACAGTCTTCATATATGTATTCTATGTAAGCTAATCTCTTCCTAATTACAGCCAAATCAGACATTCCAAGAACAACCATTTGTGGAGCTTGTGGAAAGTGAAAGTGTTGTTTCTGCAGTGAACAATGGAGAAGGGCAATTGATCTAAAGAATTAAGTTGTAGCATATTCTTAGAAATAATTAGTACGAAAAGTAAGAATAATATACACATATTGGTAACATTTTTAGAAACTTAATTACTGAATTACCTAACAAATTCGTTCTCACAGCAGATTTTGAATGCTCTAAACAACGTGTGTATAGTGTTTGGAACTAGAGAATATATTGTAACGTTGTTCATTAGACAGGCAGAAGTGAAATACATTTAACAAACTTATGAAGAGTCAGGGCCTTTACACAAAGCAAAACTGTCACGCTCTGTGGGAATATCAGGATGCCATAAACAGGCTCCAGGATACTCCCTTCCATCCTCCTTCCGAGCTTATCTCTATGGAAGGACAGATGAATGACCAGAACAATGACTTAGTGTAAAGGGGTACAAATGTTAAAGGGGGGGGTCATAAAACAATCAACGGGCTATGTTTATGTTATAAAACAGATATCCAAAAACTGTGACCAAATGTCTGTTGAGAAAACAACTGTTAGAAGGTAATTAAACAATTAAGATATATGTTTAGGCGTCAGGAGATTTATATTTACTCGGTATTTGTATAACTAGTGGAGCGTCGCGAAGAGTGTGAACCTGCAGTACTCAGCCAATGAGGAACCAGGGCAGAAAGAGATAAGCGTCGGGCAGTAGGGGATAAAAAGATGTAACCTTTTTTCTCGAGGCTCTCCTGCTTGCAGGAGGCCCGCCATTGCGATTGCAAATAAAATCTGCTTTATCAGAGATACCGTCCTAGAAAATTATTTGGATATTTCCTACAAGCTGACACTAACAGTGCTGATGCACATCCATCCAACATATAGATCAAGAGACAATTATCCTCGACTTTATTCCATTAGTAATCCAATGCACGACAACAAACTGTTTCTCTACAGCTTTGCATTTCCAGTCGTGCAACGGTGGCAACGTCTCTCCCTGGGACCAAAAGTTTATTTCCCTAAGAACTTTACAAGTAGCGCCTACGACGTCCAACGGTAACGCAAACGTTGACTGGCTGTAATCCAGTAACGGTAACATTCCGTTTATGAGCGACCTTCTCTGCCTGCCCGCCCGCCCCGCGCTGCAGGCTCCCCGCGGAGTCCCGCCAGGCTCGCACGTGTGCCCGCCACGCAGCCCCGCGCCACCAGCCTGCTCAAAGCCTGGAACAGATCCCGCCGCTACCGCGTCACGGCCGCACCGTGTCGTTGTCAGCGTCCCCCAGGCAGATGGCGTGCGGAAAGAGGCTGCCACAGAACTCGAGTGCCACGCGCTGCACGTAGCTGACAGACCGCATGCCGTCCCTCGCTACGCCGCCGGCCTCCAGGCTGGGACGACGGGAAGGCAATGGCGGCTCCGCGGGGGTGATGACGTCAGCGTTGAGGGGCGGAGCGGGGCCGCTCCCTTCCCGAACCGCCGCGACCTTGCGAGGCGCCGTTCCCTGCTGCACGACTGAGCTGCCTTTCGCAGTGAGAATGCCCGACCGTGTTATGCAAACCAGGTGTGTGATTCTTGCTCGAGTTCAGTGGGAAAGTATGCCACTGATTGCCTGGGGTGGTTTTCTCTCCCTTGTGTTGTAGGCTGAATTACAACACTCATTTACATTTTTACTTATGATAGTAAACCGCACCTTAAAGACAGCGCGAGGCGACAGTATCGGATGAAGACTTATAGATTCAGAGAGACAGATAAGTGTAATTTACCAGTCACTACAATCTTTTATGAAGCAGGAGGAAAAAAAAAGTTATTTTCTTCAACCTTTGTCAACATACCTGATACAGCTACTGATGGTGCCCCAGTGGTTGTTGGTAAAAAAAGAGGGACTTGCAAGATTAATAGATAATGATGCAATTACCTCTAACTCACATTTGATAACATGTCACTGCATCAGGCATCAAGAAAATTTGTGTGCTTTAAAAATGGATGCCTTGCAAATCATCAAAGCCGTGAATTTCATAAAGCTCAAAAGACTGAATCATCTCCAGTTCTAGCAGTTCCTTAACAGTATGGATGCTGATTATGGGTCATGATTTAAGGTAAGTCAAGGTAAAGTGCTAAAAAAGACTTCCTGGAATCAAAAGGAGACTTTGTTTCAGAACGCAGAGATTAAAAATGGCTCACAGATTTAGTATTTTGGTGGATTTGACAGTTGATTTAAATGAGCTAAATATAGATTCATAAAATCACCAAGGTTGGAAAAGAACTCCAAGATCACCTAGTCCAACCATCCACTTACCAATATTACTGCACTGAAGCCTCTCTCTAAATACTTGAACATCTCCAGAGATGGTGACTCCACAACCTCCCAGAACAGCCCGACCCAGTTCCTGACCACTCTTCTAGAGAATAAATTTTTCCTAATACCCAACCTGAACCTTCCTCAGCACAGTTTCAGGCGGTTCCCTTTAGTCCTATCACTAGCTATGTAGGAGAAGAGGCCTACCTCCACCTCATCACAACCAGAAGAGGCCTACCCCCACCTCATCACAACCTCCTTTTTTCAGGCTGTTGTACAGGTCTCCCCAGAACCTCTTCTCCAGACTAAATCTCAGTTCCGTCAGGTGCTCCTCTTAAGACTTGCATTCCAGACCCCTCACTAGCCCCATCCTAATTCTCAGTCCACCATTTATGTATTCTCCCAATCCTTCCATTCACGTGGGAAATTATCAGATCTATGTGTATTAACTGATAGCTTTATTTCATATTCAAATGAAATAGAAGGGAATATGCACCTCTGCTTCCAATCAAAGCAAATATATAGTATGTAATTTTCTATCTGATCCATTGAATCATGCATCTTCAAGGTGAAAATCACCTTACCTGTGCTGTATTTCAGACAACGACAGTGATGGAAATTAAATTATGGCAAGTTCAAATTATGGCAAAAAATCTCATGCATTTTGATATGCTAACCACAGTCCTGTGAATAGTGAAAGTGCTTTCTGTTTTGATAAAGGAATCTGAGAATAGGTTTCATGGTTTGAAAATAAAAAAAAATAAATCACTTTTTGGTACATTTGCAGCTCCATTTTCAGCTGACAAATATAGTTCTTGCAAATTTTTACAAGGAATGTATAGAGTTGCAATCAGGCATTCAACTAAAAAAAAAATTAGTCTCTTTACTAAACTGTCATAAGCCCTCTCTTACCAAAGAAATCCCTTGCTTCACAGTTATGCCTTATTCATGTCATCATTTTTGGCAGTACATACATTTATGAACAATTACTGTCAAGGATGAAATACAGGAAAAGTAATATTTCATCAAAAATCACTGATGAACACCTGGAAAACTCACTAGTGCCAGTGAACCAGCCTGATGCATTAGTTTCACAAAAACAAGATCAAACATCCCAGTAGCCTTATGCTTTTGTTGCTGGTTTTTTTGTTTTAATAAAAATGCATTCAAAAATAGTTGTTAAATACACTGAATTCATATAATTAATAGGCAACCCATGGCAACTGGCAATTCCTGTTTGCTCAATGCAGCCCAGGCAAGCCAAAAGGATGGACAACTATCAGTGTTTCACCAGTAGAATTTTCCCCATGTGAACCATATTAAATGTTCCATTTAGAATTATTTGTGCTCTAGTACAATGTAGAACAGCTTTCAAGTATACAGTCTTTTACTCCTTCCCAACCTGAAGGCTCTTAGGGCACTGCTAATCTCACGTAAAGCAGTGCAGTTCACAGATCCATAAGCTACTTCCAACCGAGCAACTGGCTGGACTTACCATCTTGGGCCTGGGGTCAGGACAGTATGTCATGCAGGACTTACCACTTTGGTGACAGTTCAGACATACAGCTCACTGGCCCAACCTCTCTCTCCTCTGAAACAGAGGAAACTATGTTCGTTCTGAAAAGCAAGCAATAAATTTGTCCCTGCTGCTAGAAAGTTTCAGAAAAGGACAGTTGAGATGCTGAGTTTAACACTACAGGACAGCATGAAGAGCATGGATAAGTCTGAATATTCTACCTCATACCTATAAAGAGAAGAATACAAACAAGCACAACACTCCCCCTCTACACACACCATTCTCCAAGCCAACACAAGAAACACCACAGAAAAAAAGTAGGAGAATATTGTCGTTTTCTTGTGAGGGTAAGGATAATAAAGACAAATCATTCAGACATTTGTATTTCATTAGGAATTTTAAACACTTTCAAGATATTTTACTACTAGCACTTAGTTTATCTTCAAAGCCAGTCAACTTTCAGGTATCAATCAGTATTCTTCTGGTCCAGTTTTACAACATGAAGGGGAAAGAGAAATACTAACAGATAATAATACATAGGTTACAGACTTGTGTACAGTTTTAAGCAACATTTTCTTCATTTGCAAACAGATGGATCAATTGCATACACTTTCTTATATGGCAATGAATCAACATTATCAGAAAAAAGTAGATATGGCTACAGTACTGCTATGTTGGATAAGAAAACACTGAATGACTAGAAGACAAGACTCGCAATTCTTTGCAAATGCCAATAAAAAACACGAAAAGTTCAATTTCCTTGAGCTTAATTGGAGCTTTATTACTTAAGCTGTGACTTCACAGTCTTCACTTTCAGCAATATGCAAAAAGGAAGCATATAAAGAAGGTTACAACACTTAATGGAGGAAGGAGAAAGGGACAATGCCAAGGCAGTAGAACAATGAGCACTGATTTGTTCTCAAGTCTCACATGAGGACTGCTGAAAAAGGCCAACTGCTTTAAAAAAAAAAAAAAAACAAACAGAAAAAAATGAAATCAAGGAAATTAATCCCATATTCTTTCCTACATTTAAGTGAGCTGGAACAAGAGAGACACAAACACCAATGGCAAAATGCAGATAAACCAAACAGAGTAAATCCAGACAGAACCAAACAATAACAGAAGCTGTATGAATAAATAAAGTCCGTAGGATTAAATCAGATTTGTGCTGCCAGTCAGCTTATTTCACAGACATACAAAGCTGTTCTTGAGTGTGGCATGGCAGCTCAGCCTTTGCTCCTCTGAAGCCACTGTCCAACCAGGTAGAAAAATAAAGGTCTAATTCACTGGAAATTCTTTCATTTACAAAACTAATGGAATCTGGTTTGTTTATGCTTCTGTGTCAACTTATTTATCTTCAACTCCATTCTGCTCATCTTTCATTTCTGCATCTTCAGTGTGGCTGGTTTGAAGAGTAGTAGCTGTCTAAACAGAGACATATAAAACAAATATCTTCATTTATTATAAAAAATTACCAAAATTTGAAACAATACCAGAAATGTCATTTAAAGCCTATCACTAGAACTGATTCTTAACATCATCTAACAATATACTGAAAAACAAACAAAACAAAACAAAAAAAACATTAAATCCGGTATTAAAGTAGATGGCAAAAATCAGTGTTCTATTTTCTGTGTCTCTAGTGGTTTGCAGTGCATGAATCTACCTTCTGCAAAGAACAGGACTCCATTGTCTTTCTTAGGGGCAGATGCATACATTTCGGGAGCGTTAACATGGTCCTTTTGCACTTTTCATGGCTACAGCTTGTTTCAGCAATCCACTCTTCCACTAGCAGCACATCTTGCAATGTGCCACACCTAGATACACCAGACTCCCAGCAGCTATGCTGCTGGAAGGAACCTGCACAGCACAGCCAAATAATGAGCAATTCACAGAATCACAGGTCAGAGGGGACCTCTGGTGATCATCTAGTGCAGCTCCCAATTAAACCCTGAAATTTTACACATCAAGATGCAAAAAATTCTAGTTTGGTTGTTGCATCTTAATTATTGCTCAGACTCTTCATTAAGAACAAACTAACAATTAAGACACTGGATAAGTCTATATGACAGTGTCTAGAAGGACACAATATTTTCCCCCAGGATCCAGTATGCAAGGACTGCTTTAGCCAGTTACAACCCTACTCGTTGACAATGCCGCTTTCCTATAGAATCAGCAGGGAACTTTTGTGTGTTTGTTTATACTTTTTCATGAGAAAGAGAACTAAATGCACAAAACTACTGCTACACTTTGAAAAGAAAAGCAAACAAACTCTTCAGAGCAGCTTGCCCATCTAACCACAGAATTACGAATTATCTCCCCTTTCCCACCCATCCTTACTATATAACGTTAGCAGAGTTAAAGCATGAAATGCATCTACGATCATCTCTGGAAGAAAATTTGATTTCTTATGCACCTTATTTTGAAAGAATGCGGGGGCTGAAACGGTGCAGAGGAAGGAAAATAATTTGTGATGTAAGAAGCCGTCAGCTGACACAGTCTGAGATGCCTTAGTTGTTTGAATTGCCAGGTACACTCATATCATTTAAGGACAATAGGCCCAGGACATACTCACATCAGAGTCACTTAGCCACTAGAATCAACTGTTCTCAGAATAATCAGTTCAAGGACAAAGGA